TTTTTTTACGTAGTTTATTGTTAACGAAAAACAATTCGGTCACAGTCCCTATGATCACCGTTACGTTGCATTAATGGATTTTATTTTGGTGATTTCGAAAACGTTTTTTTTTGGTAGTGGGGGGGGGGTTTTGGCCACGTTTTCGTTTGTTATGGTACGGAGTTTAGACTGATGGCCTTAATCTAAAGTTGTCTTGTTGTGGTTGTTGTTGTAGTACGGAGTTTAGACTGATGGCCTTAATCTATCTAAAGTTGTCTTGTGGTTGTTGTTGTAGTACGGAGTTTAGACTGATGGCCTTAATCTAAAGTTGTCTTGTGGTTGTTGTAGTACGGAGTTAGACTGATGGCCTTAATCTAAAGTTGTCTTGTGGTTGTTGTTGTAGTACGGAGTTTAGACTGATGGCCTTAATCTAAGTTGTATTGTGGTTGTTGTTGTAGTAACGGAGTTTAGACTGATGGCCTTAATCTAAAGTTGTCTTGTGGTTGTTGTTGTTGTAGTACGGAGTTAGACTGATGGCCTTAATCTAAAGTTGTCTTGTGGTTGTTGTTGTTGTAGTACGGAGTTAGACTGATGGCCTTAATCTAAAGTTGTCTTGTGGTTGTTGTTGTAGTACGGAGTTAGACTGATGGCCTTAATCTAAGTTGTCTTGTGGTGGTTGTTGTAGTACGGAGTTAGACTGATGGCCTTAATCTAAAGTTGTCTTGTGGTTGTTGTTGTTGTACGGAGTTAGACTGATGGCCTTAATCTAAAGTTGTCTTGTGGTTGTTGTAGTACGGAGTCAGACTGATGGCCTTAATCTAAAGTTGTCTTGTTGTTGTTGTTGTAGTACGGAGTTTAGACTGATGGCCTTAATCTAAAGTTGTCTTGTGGTTGTTGTTGTAGTACGGAGTTAGACTGATGGCCTTAATCTAAAGTTGTCTTGTGGTTGTTGTTGTAGTACGGAGTTAGACTGATGGCCTTAATCTAAAGTTGTCTTGTGGTTGTTGTTGTAGTACGGAGTTAGACTGATGGCCTTAATCTAAAGTTGTCTTGTGGTTGTTGTTGTAGTAACGGAGTTAGACTGATGGCCTTAATCTAAAGTTGTCTTGTGGTTGTTGTTGTAGTACGGAGTTAGACTGATGGCCTTAATCTAAAGTTGTCTTGTGGTTGTTGTTGTAGTACGGAGTTAGACTGATGGCCTTAATCTAAGTTGTCTTGTGGTTGTTGTAGTACGGAGTTAGACTGATGGCCTTAATCTAAGTTGTCTTGTTGTGGTTGTTGTTGTAGTACGGAGTTAGACTGATGGCTTTAATCTAAAGTTGTCTTGTTGTTGTTGTTGTAGTACGGAGTTTAGACTGATGGCCTTAATCTAAAGTTGTCTTGTGGTTGTTGTTGTAGTACGGAGTTAGACTGATGGCCTTAATCTAAAGTTGTCTTGTGGTTGTTGTTGTAGTATGGAGTTAGACTGATGGCCTTAATCTAAAGTTGTCTTGTGGTTGTTGTTGTTGTAGTACGGAGTTAGACTGATGGCCTTAATCTAAAGTTGTCTTGTGGTTGTTGTTGTAGTACGGAGTTTAGACTGATGGCCTTAATCTAAGTTGTATTGTGGTTGTTGTTGTAGTAACGGAGTTTAGACTGATGGCCTTAATCTAAAGTTGTCTTGTGGTTGTTGTTGTTGTAGTACGGAGTTAGACTGATGGCCTTAATCTAAAATTGTCTTGTGGTTGTTGTTGTTGTAGTACGGAGTTAGACTGATGGCCTTAATCTAAAGTTGTCTTGTGGTTGTTGTTGTAGTACGGAGTTAGACTGATGGCCTTAATCTAAGTTGTCTTGTGGTGGTTGTTGTAGTACGGAGTTAGACTGATGGCCTTAATCTAAAGTTGTCTTGTGGTTGTTGTTGTTGTACGGAGTTAGACTGATGGCCTTAATCTAAAGTTGTCTTGTGGTTGTTGTAGTACGGAGTCAGACTGATGGCCTTAATCTAAAGTTGTCTTGTTGTTGTTGTTGTAGTACGGAGTTTAGACTGATGGCCTTAATCTAAAGTTGTCTTGTGGTTGTTGTTGTAGTACGGAGTTAGACTGATGGCCTTAATCTAAAGTTGTCTTGTGGTTGTTGTTGTAGTACGGAGTTAGACTGATGGCCTTAATCTAAAGTTGTCTTGTGGTTGTTGTTGTAGTACGGAGTTAGACTGATGGCCTTAATCTAAAGTTGTCTTGTGGTTGTTGTTGTAGTAACGGAGTTAGACTGATGGCCTTAATCTAAAGTTGTCTTGTGGTTGTTGTTGTAGTACGGAGTTAGACTGATGGCCTTAATCTAAAGTTGTCTTGTGGGTGTTGTTGTAGTACGGAGTTAGACTGATGGCCTTAATCTAAGTTGTCTTGTGGTTGTTGTAGTACGGAGTTAGACTGATGGCCTTAATCTAAGTTGTCTTGTTGTGGTTGTTGTTGTAGTACGGAGTTAGACTGATGGCTTTAATCTAAAGTTGTCTTGTGGTTGTTGTTGTAGTACGGAGTTAGACTGATGGCCTTAATCTAAAGTTGTCTTGTGGTTGTTGTTGTAGTACGGAGTTAGACTGATGGTCTTAATCTAAAGTTGTCTTGTGGTTGTTGTTGTAGTAACGGAGTTAGACTGATGGCTTTAATCTAAAGTTGTCTTGTTGTTGTTGTAGTACGGAGTTAGACTGATGGCCTTAATCTAAAGTTGTCTTGTGGTTGTGGTTGTAGTACGGAGTTAGACTGATGGCCTTAATCTAAAGTTGTCTTGTGGTTGTTGTTGTAGTACGGAGTTAGACTGATGGCCTTAATCTAAAGTTGTCTTGTGGTTGTTGTTGTAGTACGGAGTTAGACTGATGGCCTTAATCTAAGTTGTCTTGTGGTTGTTGTTGTAGTAACGGAGTTAGACTGATGGCCTTAATCTAAAGTTGTCTTGTTGTTGTTGTAGTACGGAGTTTAGACTGATGGCCTTAATCTAAAGTTGTCTTGTGGTTGTTGTTGTTGTAGTACGGAGTTAGACTGATGGCCTTAATCTAAGTTGTCTTGTGGTTGTTGTTGTTGTAGTACGGAGTTAGACTGATGGCCTTAATCTAAAGTTGTCTTGTGGTTGTTGTTGTTGTAGTACGGAGTTAGACTGATGGCCTTAATCTAAAGTTGTCTTGTTGTGGTTGTTGTAGTACGGAGTTAGACTGATGGCCTTAATCTAAAGTTGTCTTGTGATTGTTGTTGTAGTATGGAGTTAGACTGATGGCCTTAATCTAAGTTGTCTTGTTGTGGTTGTTGTTGTAGTAGTAACGGAGTTAGACTGATGGCCTTAATCTAAAGTTGTCTTGTGGTTGTTGTAGTACGGAGTTAGACTGATGGCCTTAATCTAAAGTTGTCTTGTGGTGGTTGTTGTTGTAGTACGGAGTTAGACTGATGGCCTTAATCTAAAGTTGTCTTGTGGTTGTTGTTGTTGTTGTAGTAACGGAGTTAGACTGATGGCCTTAATCTAAAGTTGTCATGTTGTGGTTGTTGTTGTAGTACGGAGTTTAGACTGATGGCCTTAATCTAAAGTTGTCTTGTGGTTGTTGTTGTTGTTGTAGTAACGGAGTTAGACTGATGGCCTTAATCTAAAGTTGTCTTGTGGTTGTTGTAGTACGGAGTTAGACTGATGGCCTTAATCTAAAGTTGTCTTGTGGTTGTTGTTGTAGTACGGAGTTAGACTGATGGCCTTAATCTAAAGTTGTCTTGTGGTTGTTGTTGTAGTAACGGAGTTAGACTGATGGCCTTAATCTAAGTTGTCTTGTGGTTGTTGTTGTAGTACGGAGTTAGACTGATGGCCTTAATCTAAAGTTGTCTTGTTGTGGTTGTTGTTGTAGTAAGGAGTTAGACTGATGGCCTTAATCTAAAGTTGTCATGTTGTTGTTGTTGTAGTACGGAGTTAGACTGATGGCCTTAATCTAAAGTTGTCTTGTGGTTGTTGCTGTAGTACAGAGTTAGACTGATGGCCTTAATCTAAAGTTGTCTTGTGGTTGTTGTAGTACGGAGTTAGACTGATGGCCTTAATCTAAAGTTGTCTTGTGGTGGTTGTTGTAGTACGGAGTTAGACTGATGGCCTTAATCTAAAGTTGTCTTGTGGTGGTTGTTGTTGTAGTACGGAGTTAGACTGATGGCCTTAATCTAAAGTTGTCTTGTGGTTGTTGTTGTTGTTGTTGTTTGACTTCCATCCCAGTGGGATATTTACACACAGAGTTGGTGGTGTAACGGTGCTATTTCAGGAATATTTTGATGTTTATTTTCCCCCTGGATTTTCTGTTTGCACAGTCACACACAGAGGAGTCACTTTAAGATGTTGTTTTTCTTGTTCGTGTTTTAGTTTAGTTTAGTTTGTTGTGCTTGCACCCGATTCAAGAGCCGGATGGCTCACAGGGGGCTATACACCCAAAATAAATGGAACTATGAACACCCGATTTATAAACGTGTCTGTAACCCTCCGACCCACCGGTGTCGTTGAAGACTGAGCCCGCGGGTGGTTGGAGGTGTTACGACACACATTTATAAATAACGCGATCTGGCCCACAACCCTCGATGATGAGTAATATATATTTGGTCGGGAAAATCCTCCCGGCGTGTTCAACTGGAGGTGGTTGTGGTTGTATGTCGCGTTGCCCCTGCGACCACTGCTTGGCCTGACATCAGAGTCGGCCACCCACCCACACACCCACCCACCCACACAGCCACCCACCCACACAGCCACCCACCCACACAGCCACCCACACCGCCACCCACCACCGCTCGCTCGACCGCGCGCCAATTAAAATAAAAGCCCGAAGAATTCCCATTTAAAACGTTGAAATGTTACTTGCACTATTCAAGAGAGTGTGTTGTTGTTGTGTTTGTTGTTGTAAGTGGGTGGTGAGTGGGTGAGTGAGTGGATGAGTGAGTGTGTGAGTGAGTGTGTGAGTGTGTGAGTGAGTGTGTGAGTGAGTGGATGAGTGAGTGGATGAGTGAGTGGATGTGTGAGTGTGTGAGTGAGTGTGTGTGTGTGAGTGGATGAGTGAGTGTGTGTGTGTGAGTGTGTGTGAGTGCTGAGCGGGCGGTACGGACACCTCACCCACCACTCACCCACCCGCTCCACCCCGCGCTGTTTGTGCCAGGCTAGGTGGCACCTTCAGCCTCCCAACCACACCCCGACATTTACCATGGTGGCCACCCTCCCTCCCGGCCCTAGCGGGTGGTGGCGGTGGTGGCGGTGGTGGCGGTGGTGGCGGTGGTGGTGGTGTGGTGGTGCGTGTGTGGCTGGAAGCGCTGTGTCTCGTCGTATATCATCTGCTTCAGCTGCTCCTTGGGGAGGTCATCCAGCTCCATGGCGAACTTGAACGGGGCCTCGGCCACGGGCTGGTGGGGAGGAGAGGGAGAGGGATAGGATGGGGAGGGAGAGTTTCAGTGTCACGTGCCATTTGGTAGAGATCCCTGTGACAACATAGGGCTCTTGACTCAGGGTGCAACCACAACAGACAGACAAACACAAACACGTGAGCAAGAGAACACGTCTTTAAGTGACTGCTGCAAAACAGACAAACACAAACACGTGAACAAGAGAACACGTCTTTAAGTGACTGCTGCTGCAGCAAAACAGACAAACACAAACACGTGAGCAAGAGAACACGTCTTTAAGTGACTGCTGCTGCAGCAAAACAGACAAACACAAACACGTGAGCAAGAGAACACGTCTTTAAGTGACTGCTGCTGCTGCAAAACAGATAAACACAAACACGTGAGCAAGAGAACACGTCTTTAAGTGACTGCTGCTGCAGCAAAACAGACAAACACAAACACGTGAGCAAGAGAACACGTCTTTAAGTGACTGCTGCTGCTGCAAAACAGATAAACACAAACACGTGAGCAAGAGAACACGTCTTTAAGTGACTGCTGCTGCTGAACAGATAAACACAAACACGTGAGCAAGAGAACACGTCTTTAAGTGACTGCTGCTGCTGCAAAACAGATAAACACAAACACGTGAGCAAGAGAACACGTCTTTAAGTGACTGCTGCTGCTGCAAAACAGACAAACACAAACACGTGAGCAAGAGAACACGTCTTTAAGTGACTGCTGCAAAACAGATAAACACAAACACGTGAACAAGAGAACACGTCTTTAAGTGACTGCTGCAAAACAGACAAACACAAACACGTGAGCAAGAGAACACGTCTTTAAGTGACTGCTGCTGCTGCTGCAAAACAGATAAACACAAACACGTGAGCAAGAGAACACGTCTTTAAGTGACTGCTGCTGCTGCAAAACAGATCAACACAAACACGTGAGCAAGAGAACACGTCTTTAAGTGACTGCTGCAAAACAGATAAACACAAACACGTGAGCAAGAGAACACGTCTTTAAGTGACTGCTGCTGCTGCAAAACAGATAAACACAAACACGTGAGCAAGAGAACACGTCTTTAAGTGACTGCTGCTACTGCTGCTGCAAAACAGATAAACACAAACACGTGAACAAGAGAACACGTCTTTAAGTGACTGCTGCTACTGCAAAACAGATAAACACAAACACGTGAGCAAGAGAACACGTCTTTAAGTGACTGCTGCTGCTACAAAACAGATAAACACAAACACGTGAACAAGAGAACACGTCTTTAAGTGACTGCTTCTGCTGCTGCTACAAAACAGATAAACACAAACACGTGAGCAAGAGAACACGTCTTTAAGTGACTGCTGCTGCAAAACAGATAAACACAAACACGTGAGCAAGAGAACACGTCTTTAAGTGACTGCTGCTGCAAAACAGATAAACACAAACACGTGAACAAGAGAACACGTCTTTAAGTGACTGCTGCAAAACAGATCAACACAAACACGTGAACAAGAGAACACGTCTTTAAGTGACTGCTGCTGCAAAACAGATAAACACAAACACGTGAACAAGAGAACACGTCTTTAAGTGACTGCTGCAAAACAGACAAACACAAACACGTGAGCAAGAGAACACGTCTTTAAGTGACTGCTGCTGCTGCAAAACAGACAAACACAAACACGTGAACAAGAGAACACGTCTTTAAGTGACTGCTGCAAAACAGACAAACACAAACACGTGAGCAAGAGAACACGTCTTTAAGTGACTGCTGCTGCTGCAAAACAGATAAACACAAACACGTGAGCAAGAGAACACGTCTTTAAGTGACTGCTGCTGCTGCAAAACAGACAAACACAAACACGTGAGCAAGAGAACACGTCTTTAAGTGACTGCTGCTACACGCCAAACAGATAAACACAAACACGTGAGCAAGAGAACACGTCTTTAAGTGACTGCTACAAAACAGATAAACACAAACACGTGAGCAAGAGAACACGTCTTTAAGTGACTGCTGCAAAACAGATAAACACAAACACGTGAGCAAGAGAACACGTCTTTAAGTGACTGCTGCTGCTGCAAAACAGATACATCCTGGGGATGGGGGTGGGAAAGAAAAATCAGCAAAAGTCTTCCAGGAAAAGCCACCCAAGCATCAACGGCGCGTGCAACAATCCCAGAGGGATGCGAGTTAAACAATAAAATAATAAAAATATAAAACAATAAAATTATTATTCTTGGTTCTTTGGGTAAAGTCACCACCACGTAGAAGGGAAACAATAAAATAATAAAAATATAAAACAATAAAATTATTATTCTTGGTTCTTTCGGTAAAGTCACTACCACGTTAGAAGGGAAACAATAAAATAATAAAAATATAAAACAATAAAATTATTATTCTTGGTTCTTTGGGTAAAGTCACCATCACGTAGAAGGGAAACAATAAAATAATAAAAATATAAAACAATAAAATTATTATTCTTGGTTCTTTCGGTAAAGTCACCACCACGTTAGAAGGGAAACAATAAAATAATAAAAATATAAATCAATACAATTCTCACGACGTTTCGACTGCAACACAAGCAATCATCATCAGGTGTGACAACCACAGCAATAATTTTTTTTAAAAAAATTCTTGATGCTGATACTACAACTGATGATACTATTACTGATACTACTACTACTCATGATACTACTATTGATGATGATAGTACTACTGATGATGATACTATCACTGATGATACTACTACTGGTGATACTACTACTGATACTACTGATGATAATACTACTGATGATGCTACTACTGATGATAATATTATTGATGATACTACTACTGATGATACTACCACTGATGATACTACCACTGATACTACTACTACTGATGATACTACTGATGATACTACAACTGATGATGATAGTACTACTGATGATGATACTACCACTGATGATACTACTACTGGTGATACTACTACTGATGATACTACTACTGAAGATACTACTACTGATGATACTACTACTGATGATGATACTACCACTGATGATACTACTGCTGATGATACTACCACTGATGATACTACTACTGATGATCCTACTACTGATGATACTACTACTGATGATGATACGACCACTGATGATGCTACTACTGATGATACTACTACTGATGATACTACCACTGATGATACGACCACTGATGATACTACTACTGATGATACTACTACTGATGATACTACCACTGATGATACTACTACTGATGATACTACCACTGATGATACTACTACTGATGATACTACTACTGATGATGATACTACCACTGATGATACTACCACTGATGATACTACTACTGATGATACTACTATTGATGACACTACTACTGATGATATTACTGATGATACTACCGCTGATGCTACCACCACTGATGCTACTACTGCTGATGATACTACTACTGATGATAATATTACTGATGATACAACCACTGATACTACTACTGATGATACTACTACTGATGATAATATTACTGATGATACTACCACTGATGCTACTACCGCTGATGCTACTACTGCTGATGCTACTACTGATGATACTACTACTGATGCTACTACTACTGATGATACTACTACTACTGATGCTACTACTACTACTGATGCTACTACTGCTGATGATACTACTACTACTGATGATACTACTGCTGATGCTACTACTACTACTGATGATACTACTGCTGATGCTACTACTACTGATGCTACTACTGCTGATGCTACTACTACTGATGCTACTACTGCTGATGCTACTACTGCTGATGATACTACTACTGATGATGCTACTACTGATACTACTACTACTGATGATACTACTACTGATGATACTACTACTGATGATGCTACTACTGATACTACTACTACTGATGATAATATTACTGATGATACTACCGCTGATGCTACTACTACTGATGCTACTACTGATGATACTACTACTGATGCTACTACTACTGATGATACTACTACTACTGATGCTACTACTACTACTGATGCTACTACTGCTGATGATACTACTACTGATGATACTACTGCTGATGATACTACTACTGATGATACTACTACTGATGCTACTACTACTGATGCTACTACTGCTGATGCTACTACTGCTGATGATACTACTACTGATGCTACTACTGATGATACTACTACTGATGATACTACTACTGATGCTACTACTACTGCTGATACTACTACTACTGATGCTACTACTACTGATACTACTACTACTGATACTACTACTACTGATGCTACTACTACTGACGACGATGACGATGTTGACGACGTTGATGCCGTTGATGCTGTGGCCACCTCATCAGTAGGATCGTAGTACTGCTGCAGGTAAGGGTGCTCAAGGGCTTTCTCCACGGAGATCCGCTGGTCGGGGTTGAACGCCAGCATCTTGTCCAGCAAGTCCAGCGCTGTGACACACGGAGAGACACCACTCCTCCTCATCGTCATACCACTCATCGTCACACCACTCACTCATCATACCACTCATTATCATACCACTCATACCACTCCTCATCATACCACTCATCATACCACTCCTCATCTTCATACCACTCATCGTCATACCACTCATCATCATACCACTCATACCACTCATCATACCACTCATCGTCATACCACTCATCATCATACCACTCATCATACCACTCTTCGTCATACCACTCTTCGTCATACCACTCACTCATCATACCACTCACTCATCATACCACTCACTCATCATACCGCTCATCGTCATACCACTCATCGTCATACCACTCATCATCATACCACTCATACCACTCATCATCATACCGCTCATTATCATACCACTCATCATACCACTCCTACTCCTCGACTCCCCCCCCCCCCCCCCGTGTCTCTCCCCCCGTGTCTGTCCCCCCGTGTCTCCCCCCGTGTCTCTCTCCCCGTGTCTCCCCCCCGTGTCTCTCTCCCCGTGTCTCCCCCGTGTCTCCCCCGTGTCTCCCCCCGTGTCTCTCTCCCCGTGTCTCTCCCCCCGTGTCTCCCCCCCGTGTCTCCCCCCGTGTCTCTCTCCCCGTGTCTCCCCCCCGTGTCTCTCTCCCCGTGTCTCCCCCGTGTCTCCCCCCGTGTCTCTCTCCCCGTGTCTCTCCCCCCGTGTCTCTCCCCCCGTGTCTCTCCCCCCGTGTCTCTCCCCCCGTGTCTCCCCCCGTGTCTCTCTCCCCGTGTCTCTCCCCCCGTGTCTCCCCCCCGTGTCTCCCCCGTGTCTCTCTCCCCCGTGTCTCCCCCCGTGTCTCTCTCCCCGTGTCTCCCCCCCGTGTCTCTCTCCCCGTGTCTCTCCCCCCGTGTCTCTCTCCCCGTGTCTCTCCCCCCATGTCTCCCCCCCGTGTCTCCCCCGTGTCTCTCTCCCCCGTGTCTCTCTCCCCGTGTCTCCCCCCGTGTCTCCCCCGTGTCTCTCCCCGTGTCTCCCCCGTGTCTCTCCCCGTGTCTCTCTCCCCGTGCCTCTCTCCCCGTGTCTCCCCCCGTGTCTCTCTCCCCCGTGTCTCTCCCCCGTGTCTCTCTCCCCGTGTCTCTCTCCCCGTGTCTCTCTCCCCGTGTCTCCCCCGTGTCTCTCCCCCCGTGTCTCTCTCCCCGTGTCTCCCCCGTGTCTCTCCCCCCGTGTCTCTCTCCCCGTGTCTCTCTCCCCGTGTCTCTCTCCCCGTGTCTCTCTCCCCGTGTCTCCCCCGTGTCTCTCTCGCCGTGTCTCTCCCCCGTGTCTCTCCCCGTGTCTCTCCCCCCGTCTCTCCCCCGTGTCTCTCTCCCCGTGTCTCTCTCCCCGTCTCTCTCCCCGTGTCTCTCTCCCCGTGTCTCCCCCCGTGTCTCCCCCCGTGTCTCTCCCCCCGTGTCTCTCCCCGTGTCTCCCCCATGTCTCTCCCCCGTGTCTCTCTCCCCATGTCTCCCCCCCGTGTCTCCCCCCCGTGTCTCCCCCGTGTCTCTCCCCCGTCTCTCTCCCCGTGTCTCTCTCCCCGTGTCTCTCTCCCCGTGTCTCTCTCCCCGTGTCTCTCCCCCGTGTCTCTCTCCCCGTGTCTCTCTCCCCGTGTCTCTCTCCCCGTGTCTCTCCCCCGTGTCTCTCTCCCCGTGTCTCTCCCCGGGTTACCGTCCGCGCTAGCGCTGGGGTAAAGCTTCCTCCACTCGACCTTGGGCTTGCCAGGGAGGGACTGGATGTAGTTCCGGGCCTTGGGGTTCATGATGCAGCTCAGATCGCCGGCGGAGGGAGATCCCAGCACGGCTACAGTGGTGGGGGGGTGGTGGTGGGGGGTGATGGTGGGTGGGTGGTGGTGGGTGGGGGGTGGTGGGGGGGTGGTGGTGGGGTGGTGGTGTGGGGGGGGGGGGGTGGAGAGACACGGGGGGAGAGACACGGGGGGAGAGACACGGGGAGAGAGACACGGGGGGAGAGAGACACAGGGGGAGAGACACGGAGAGAGACACGGTGAGAGACACGG